AGATTATTATTATTACGACTATATTTTTTCTATTGTCAGTTCACTCTTGCTTATCTAAAAACAAATTTATTTAAATGTATTCAAAGGAAAAACAGGGTTGTTAAAAAATATCATGGTGTTTAGATAATTTTCACAGTCGATCAAGCACAAGCCGGTGCTAAAGAGACAGTCTGACCTATTTGTTCACAAATTAAGCTGTTAGGCCGGTCTTAAAACTATCATCTTTTATTTTTATGTTATAGGATAGTCACGCATGGCGTTGACTTAATGGTAGGTTAATAACCCATGTAACATCTAAACAAGATGCACAGTCAAACTATTATGGACTTTGGAAATTCGTAAATCCACAGACTGAAATCTTCCTACCATCTATTTAATATTTAGATTCCCAGAACGAGTAAAACGTGTTATAAAAAAATAATTAATTAATTACCTAGTGAGGTTCGATTTCTTAACCTGAATCCTGAAGAATCCTGAATTATGATACGCCTTTGCACAAAATTTTTTATTTTGTATATGTAATTCTATGTATCCATGTTCTTATGTCTATGTTTGTGAATAAAGTTTATATATTATTATTATTATTTGAAAATAAATTGTCTCGCGAGTATTGGAGTAAACTGAAGGTTTGAAAAATTTAATGTTTTTCACGATGGCATTATACATGTACATTAAAAATCGGTTCTAGATTTTTTTTTAATAATACACGTAATCAATTGAGCTACGTTAGAACAACAGCACGGTACGCTATGTATGACGGTTCAAATCCTGACCGTGCCATGTTTTTTAAGTCTAAAACCGATTTTTATACTTGAACTTTTATAAAATCTATCACTGGAAGGGTCAAATGCTTTTCCGTGCCGTATATAGGAAAATATATTTAAATACGAAAAAATCCAATTTAACAATCTACGGACTAACACAATAAATGTAGTCAAACTCATATATATATATACTAGAGAGTTCGTCTAGGGCGGAAGACTTCCGACATTCTTATTATATACTTGCTGTTAAAACACAGTGGCTATAGAAAGAAAATAACAGGGAGTTTTATTTAGCGGAAAAGTTTACAAAATTTATTTCATCTGCACGATATATAAACAGCACCAATCCGGAAAATAAGGAGAAAATCGTTTTTTTTTTAACCTTGAATTTCGTAATATTCTGGGTGTGGTTTTGTGTTCGTAGGATTTTATCTTATTTTTCATCTTTTATGTAATAAAAAAACTTATAATGGTTTAATTTAATGTATAAAACAAAACAATAATAAGTGAGGAAGAATGCTAATCTACACTAATATTATAAAGCTGAAGTGTTTATTTAAAAGTATGTCTATTCTGCCGCAGACATTTTTTAGATCATTTATAGAGAAATCATTCTTTGATAGATATTTTTTTTAACCGTTTACACAGACTACTCAACGGAAGCCCTCAAAGCTGAAAGATTTCCCCGTTTCCCCACTGTGTTATAGCCAAATGCCTTCCTCGATAAATGATCCAATTAATACTAAAGGAATTTTGTGATTCGAACAAGTAGTTCCTGAGATTAGCGCGTTACAACAAACTAACTCTGCTTTACAATATTATTATGGATTATCTGTAATTTTTCCTAAATGCCGATATTGTTGTAGTCAATTCGTGAAACATACCTTTACTGACGTTCATATGACGTAACCACCCGACGTAGTAAAACAATAGACTAACGATTATATCATATAATTGTTTTGTTAGACAACTAATAATACTCCATAGTTCCCCCTTTTTTTGATGACGTCACGAGAGAATAGGTTTATACTTTAGAAATTTACCATAAAGTATAATAAAAAATACAAGCTGCTAAATCCAAAATACAAAAAAAACATACAAAGGCCGGCCCGCTTTGCGTGTGCTTTTTAATAATAGTTACTAGCGACTTCGTCCGCGTAGAATAGCTGTTTCCCGATTGTACAAACCTATACATTGGCTGCCGCGAAGGTCCATCCCGTCGCTCGCGACCCGTCGTGGGTGCCGAATTTCGGAAGGAAAAAAAAAAAAAAAAAAAAAGGGAGAAAAAAAAAAAAAAAAAAACGGGTTAAAAGGGGAAAAATTTTATTAAAATTTTTTTGAAAAAATATTTTTACCTTCGGCCGGCGTTTTGGGTGCTTTGCGGCGGCCGTGGTCGCGGGAGACAAGTTAAAAATCATTTACAAATGAGTTTAACTAATATATCGCGTTTTGAACCGTTAAAGTGTTTTATTTAAATGTGTACTACTCGCCTAACCTATATACAGTAGATAGATATAGTGTCGCGGACATTTTTTTAGGTCATTTAAAGGGGAATCATTCTTTCAACATATTTTTTGTATGTCTTGAAGTTTTGCAGCGTACGTATGTGAAAACCACAGGGATGAAAAATTTCCCCCGTTTTGTTCACATTTCCCGCTGTACCTTCGCTGCTATTAGTCACAGCGCGATGTTTTAACCTTCCTCGGATAATGCTCTAACTAACAAAAGAAATTTTTCAATTCGGACCCGTTTCTGAGATTAGCGCGTTGAAACAATCAAACTATTCAGCTATATATATTAGTATAGATGTATTGTACTTATTTATATACATATTCCTATATAGTAAAGAAGTTGAGTTGTGTTTCAGAAAGTTAAAGTTATTTTGAACCTTCTGACGGTTTTGGATATATCCTGGTGACAGACACACACCCAGTCAAATTCTGCCGTTGCGTTTTTGCCTTTTGAGTACAGAACCCTAAAAATGCTTCAATTGTGTTGAAACTTTGTTGCTATGCCAATTAATTCAATAATTAATACGTAAGTCTCTAAATGGATGTATCATTGTTTTTTGCAACAATTAAAAATACATCTGCCAAAATACAATTGTAGCTAGCTACACAAAGTCCTTGTAATCTTCTAATACAGCCTTAAATGAACAACTAATTTCGTATAACATACAATTAAACTATATACGATGACGTCATAAAACAAGTTTCTTAAATAATTAATCTACAGCGTAAAGACGTCACATTATGTTCATGTTTGACTCCTAAAGAGATCATACAAAAATATTTTCGAAATTCTGTTATTTACGAGTTCGGCACTGATTAAATGGAAAATGAATTTAAATAAAACAGCTATAACGGTTTTAAACGTCATTGTATTAGTTAACTTATTTACAAATTATTTTACAGCTATATATGGGACGTGAAACGTGCTTTTTATTGTATTTTTATAACTCGCGTAAACTATAAACAATAAATAATGTGAGTTATTAACGGTTTAAAACGCGAAATTTATAAGTTAATTTATTTACAAATTATTTTACAGCCCGACATTTCGAATGCTTTGCAGCAGCAGTAGCTGTGGGGGACGTTTTGAACAGTTAAATGTGTTTAATTGTACACTATTTGAACGAAAATGAATAAAACATGTTAGCCTTTATATTTTTGAGTGTCAAAGTAATCTGGTTTTTACAAAGTCAACGTGTAAGGTAAGCGCTTATGACGCACAATATCCAAAACCATGAACATTACCATCTTTACTTCAACTGCTCTGACGTCATAATTATGTTGTCCCTTTATTGACATTTTCAGCACAATTAGTTAAATTTGATAATACTTCACTTACTTTGTTTTTTATATATCACAGCTCCACTCTTAATCTGTTTGCCTAACATGACGGACTAAATTCCTGTAAATAAAATCGTAAAACATTATGAACAGTATTTTCGTCCCATACCCCACAAGGGGAATCTGGATAGAAAAGAGGCCTCTTTAAATAATTTCTTTTGTTTGATGTATCGTTTGCGTTCTTATTAAAATTTGTCTTCGCCGTTCGGGTCTCTTCCAAGAAATATCACAAAATTATTTCTCGATTCTTCTTAACGTATCGTTCTTTGGAAATTGGTATATTTTATTTCAAGGTAACTGTATAACTTTAATAAAAACCCCAGCAAGTGAAGACTCTCAATAAATAGGTTTAAACGTATTAACAACTCTTGAAAAGGGTTATTATATTTAATCAATATTTAAATGATAAAAATGTTGGGGTTGAGGAACCCGCTCTTACAAGGAAAAATATTATGTATAAAAGTAAATCAAAATGTAAAATGAAACTTGGCGATAAGGAGTGAGGGATTTATTGATTTTCTGTTTTACTTATTGAAAGTGTAGTAAATTAAAGTTAGATTTTAATTATTTTGTGACGTTATAAGTGTAATATATAATAAAATATTTTTGTTTGTTTGAATGGGTGATAGGATTAAATAAATTCAGTCCCTGTCATTAAAACTGAGGTGTACGAATGTACCCCTTTCAGTTTCAGTTAGACTGAACGTGAAAATTTAAAATAGGTCGATAACGCATCTTAATGAATGGGCGCTACGGAATTTCACCTTCTATCACATGAGCTTCTGGTTTATCTATCTATCCGACGTTTCGGATGCTTTGCAGCAGCCGTGGTCTCCCCGTGACCACGGCTGCTGCAAAGCATCCGAAACGTCGGGCCGAAGTTAAAAATAATTTTCAAATAAGTTTAACTAATATATCGCGTTTTAAACCGTTAAAGTGTTTTATTTAAATGTGTACTACTCGCGTAAACTATAGACAGTATTTTATCTATCTTTTTTTAATAAAAGCAGCGAAATATCATTGTTATTAAAATATTACGACGATGATTTATTTTATGTGTAGATATATATCTTCTCACCTTTAAACACTTTGCAACAATGAAAATTTACTTTTGACCCCAATTTTCGAGAATAACACATCATACAATTCCTATGGCTGTCTACTTATATCTGTATCATTCCCTCGTCATGAGTTCATGATATTATGCGCAGACGCCGCTATTATTCGCTACAGTCCCGCGTCGCACCTACATACGCGCGGTCGACCTATTTATTTACATAACTCACATTAAATGTAACACGAAAAATCGTACGTCATTTTCGAGTGTCAATTGTTTGCGAATTTAAAATGTATTAGTGTTATAAGTGCTTTGGAAAATTGGACAATGTCGAATACAGATTTACCGACACCGGAAGTGGTCCCGGAAACGCCGTCCCCGGGCATCGAACCGGTTAACAAGTTCAATTGGTTGAGAAATGCGAAGAACGCGAGGCGGAATCCATTTGTTCAGGCGCGACCGACGCTTACGAGGGACAGTTCCACATCTGAACTGTTTTCCAGGGAGAATTCTAGTGCTGATCTCTTTCAAAATTCGCGTCTGAACCTCTTCGAAAGCACGCCGAAACCGGAAGTCACGAGTTATAGCAAGGTATTTTAGTACCTGTGAGATATAAAAAGGTCATTTGCGTCACTGTCTGTAAACAATTAGCTGTGGAAACGCGTATGAAAATATGTTAGTAACGAAATAATAAAGAAAAATCCTCTATGAGGACATCTTATTATGGGGCGAACGCTTTTCTGTATTCGTTTTAGTAATCAAATCCGGTATCTGTGTCCAGCCTGACCGAAACTGATTCCTTGTTTCCCCAGGTTTCAAACCCACCTCCTATTTAACGTAAGGCTAGGGTTACCCTTGATTTAATACCCTTTAATAAGTGAAATTTTTATTATTGACGGTTAACTTATTTACAATTTATTTTAACTACGGCCCGTCGTGTTGGATGCTTTGCAGCAGCCCTGATCATGGGTGGGCATGTAATAACATTTGTAAGTGTACATAAGTTACTTTTATTTAAACTTAAAGCGTACATGTAACAAAGCATAAACATTATATAACAAGTGAAGTTTAAATGACCAGGCTTTGTGAGTTTAAGACAAATCTAAGTGCCTTCAAATGCAAAAATACTTAATTACAATTTTTAATATGATAACAATCTAAAGACGTTCTTGACCTTGTCAACTCAGTATCTCTATAGCGCATATTAATAGATACTTAAATAGTTAAAGAAGAGTTTTAAACCGTATGTTTACGACTCGTTAACTATCCAAACTATTGATGTGCCTATAAAAATTAAGTGCTTACTTTGAAATGAATCGGTTGCCACTGTTCGCGTTTTAAACCGTTAAAAGTGGTAGTGTTGTTATATTTAAATGTAACGTAACGTAATGTTAGAGCTATATTTTCATTTTAGGACGTTTTAATTTTGATAAAATTAAACTACTGTCTCCCCGTGACCACGGCTGCTGTAAAGCTCCATTATAAAAGAATTTTCAAATAAGTTAAACTAAATGCGTTTTTCTGCAAATCGCGTTAACTACAGACAGTATTTAATATAAAACTACCTACCTTTTGATTTAAAAGGTTTATTTCTCGTTACGGCAATATTTTGTTCTTATCATAAATACAGTTTTGAGTTTTTTTGTCTTACTTAAAATTTTCTTCCAACTGTCTATTTGAAGTATTTCTCTTTAAAAATAGATATATCTTAAAGGAACTTATAATTATATATTTGTAAACTAATTAGTACTATGTATATATGTAGCTAATTGTACCTTTAAACCGTGAAAATCAAGCATTCGACTCGCTTTCCACGCCATTTTCCAGATGGAAAACGCCGTAAATACGATCGAAATAGCGAAATGAATTTGAACAGATTGCGCCAGTACATTATGTTAATATATTCACCATTATTTATGTAATGTTACAGAGATATAGTGCGGCATGGAAACATCGATTATAGTATGTCCCGTATTTGATGATAAGTTGAATTAGATATTACGCAGTACGACATTTTGTTTCGCTTACAATACCGTAGTTAACATAAATAGTACAATTAAAAAACGAATTTTAACGACTTAAAACGCGAAATAAATTTGTTAACTCATTTTTAATTTAATGTAACCACGGCCCGACGCCGTTAATTTACAAAAAATATGTTTCGCCTTTGAAATCGTTAAAACAGATTTATTATATATATAAATGTGTACTAATAATATCGAATGCACTACAGACTATACATACTCTTAGATATGAGTGATTTTTTCTAACTACTTAAACTCAGACATGATTCGGGGCAACAATAAATATATATTTTTATAATATGTACATGTAGTCTCGTTAGTGTAACCATAGCAATGTATATATGTTAATATAATAGCTCTTTCTCCTATTCGATCACAACCGGATCTAAATAATTTCCATTCAATTTATTATTTTGCTAAAATGTTGGATTTCGTTTGGAAATCTGGATATTACTGGTTGGTAGGAAAATAGAAATTCCATTCCGCGTCACGCACTACCACAAATGGACAAGTCATAAAGTTTAATCGCGTGTTGGTTTCAGTTTGAGTATTTCCAAATAACCAAAGCCGAAATGGGTCGATAACGCATCTTGTTCAGATATTGTATGGCTGGGGTATCTCACCTACCATCAAGCACCTCCTCTATCATAAAAAGTTAAATTGTCTATGAATACTTAGCATCCTATATTGCGCAACGTATATCAGCAACTTCAAACGAATTACTAGTTTAATTGGGGCCATCGTGAACCCGATTATCGGAGAAATGTGATAGAACTTTGTCACTTGAATATTTGTGCTACAGTTCTAGGCACGTGTATATCTACACAAATATATAAAGCTGAAGGGTTTGTTTGTTTGAACGCGCTAATCTTAGGAACTACTGATTCTATTTGAAAAAAATATTTATTTCTGTAATACTATTTTTGTGTTAGTTGAACAATTTATCGAGGAACGCTTAAGGCTATAAAACGTCACGTTGCTATCAATAAGAGCGAAGAAACAGCGGCACAAATGGGGAAAATTCGTCTTTAAGATTTTCCGTTGCGTGCGCTACGTAAACGGTTCCGTATACTCAATAACAATGTATGAAAGAATGATTCCTCTTTGAATTATAAAAAAAAATGTCCGCAACATTATATGTCTAACTTTTAAAATTAACTTGCAAGACGGGTCGCGAATGGACGGGTTCGAATCCTCGGGAAACAATAAATTGACTTGGTCAAGAAGTGCACAGAAGTTAACTACTGGTCTGTAAAAGAAAGGGACACAGAAATTCGCCCCATGCCCCACGGGGTAACGATTTCACATTTATATCTTCACTTCCTTTCATGTCATTGTGTCATTTCAACGTTAGTACGAAGCGCCGAATGGATATTGAAGACGCCATGATGCTGGTGTGATTATGTCAACGTGTTATTTCCGGATGCGATCAATAGCCGTGAAAAGGTCTTCGAACACCCTACAGTTCTTTACTTCCACTGAATTTTACTATTTATTTAAATTTAAAAACGAAAATCGTTTGAACATTGAAAAAAATTAACGACCCCAGGCAGGACTTGAACCACAGCGTTCCGTTTATTCATGTTAGATAAAGGTTTATATGACATAGACGATAACAGCCAATGTCGTAGCTTCGAGCCCCGCCCGTGTGAACAGAATAATATTAATATTATGCTAAATATACATTTAAATAAATCAATTTCAACGGTTTAAAACGCGGAATATAATAGTTTGACTTATAACTACGGCTCGACGTTTCGGATGTTTTGCAGTAGGAATTGTAGATGGATATACGACGGGTCGTAGTTTAAATAAATTAAGTATTTAGCGTTTTAAACCGTTAAAATCGTTTAACAATGTGTATATTCTCATTAGTTTAGAGACATACAGAACAGTATGATTTATTTCTATATGTACATACAAATTAATTTTTCCATCTATTTGTTTTAAATATTATTTACTCTTATCTCCATCCAGTATTCCTATAAATGTATTACAAACTAAAGCTACTTACACTACTTACGCAGTTTAATAAACATTTAATATTGTGAAGTGTTAGTAATGGAAGTGTTTCTAGAATATTATAAAAACATAATAATTCATTTGTTTAGGAATTTATAAACCAGAGACTAAAAAAGCTAGGATAAAGACATTCTATTCAAACAGAATTACTACCCTTTTTATCTTTATATCTTATTCAGCCATAAACAATACGATTAAAACCTTCACGGACCTCAGTCTACTTCTGTCAATTTCACGAAAACCTTGTTTTTTGTCTGTGGTAACGATTTCCGGAATGAACTGTAACTCGCTATAATTATTTCTCGTTAACTCATTGATCTAGTGATTAGTGCACTTGACTGGAGATCACGAGGTACCGTATTCGAATCCTGGATTTTGGATAACAGCTAAGTCATTTAAAACTCAATCGTAGAATTAATGACGTTTTTCATTGTCTTATTAAAGAAATTCTGACGCGTTACAACACGTCACACATAACTACACGCATTGATATATGTACCGACTCTGACACAATCGAATTATCGTGCAACACAACAGAAGCCATTTTAATCGTGACCGCTTCCTAAATATATTGAACCGATACGATTCAGATGCGTCACATCAGACAAACGTAAATCCGATTTTAGACTTTGTGTGTTTACAACTGTATGAACGAATACATTTCAAAAGCGCAGCTCGTTTATTTATAGCGCGACCCGATTTCTTAGTCCTTGGTAAATGTTTGATAACAAAGGGCTTGATAGTAGTACACACCCGATAACAATATGATTAACTAGCTGTATAGTGCGCGCGACTTTGTTCGTGAGAATAGCCATTTTTGGCGGCCAAATTTTTTTTGCAAACCTCTTCATTTTTTTTAAATTCAAGCTGTTACCCACGACGTCAGTCGCATCCCGTCGTTCTTGCAAGTTAACCTTAAAAGATAGATAAATAGCGGTCGCGGGCATTTTTAATATCATTTAAACATGACACGCTTCCATGCATATTTTTTGGATATATTGAAACGTTTTCCCAGCGTACGAGTCGGAACCTCACAAAGATGAATAACTTTTCCCGTTTTTTTCACATTTCCGGCGGTTTTTTCGCTCCTATTAGTCGCAGCGCGTTTTATAACCTTACCTTCCTCATTAAATACTCTAATCAACACAAACATAATTTTTCAATTCGAACATACAGGCTTCTGAGTTTAGCGCGTTCAAACGAACAAACTCTTCAGCTTTATATATTAGTACAGAGTATAGATTAAATAATACGACTACACGCTCGTAAACGGAGTTAGTGTTTTATTATTGTATCTAATAATAATAACCATGATAATAATATTATTAAGTAAATAGAATTGGTTAAACAGGGATGGGCTCGTTTTTATGATAAAGGGGAAACTTTTATGTCTATGTTTTACACCTTTTATAGTATTCATGGAACCGATTAGACATATAAAGCACTTAAACTGTTTAAAACGCGATATATATTAGTTTAACTCATTTGAAATTTATTTTAACTACGGCCCGATTTTTCGGATGCTTTACAGTGCCGTGTTCATGG